TGGGGGCAATATGCTGACTCTGTAAACCGCTTAGAGAGGGCTGAAAGCCCTATGAAGCGGTATATAAGCCTAACTGCTATTGCTATTGCTATTGCCATCGGAAGTCGAAAAACAGTCTCTGGAGGGCCACCGGGGGGAGGGGCAAGGGAAGCCGTTTTTGCCCTCCCCAGCCTCCAAAAAAGCTATGTGCGCATGCGCAGAGCAGGGGAGCACATGCGCAGGGGCACGACATGGCGGGGCATCAAATTATGAGGGTGGGCACGCATGCGCATTAACATGCACGCACATTAACATGCACGCACGTGCTTTTGGCACCTGAGGCGAAAAAGGTTCACCATCACTGATCTATATGATGATCTCAGCTTCTTCCTTATTGTTCACACTCTGGACATCTGGTGACTTCACTTCTCCTATTATTTCATGACTTACCTCCTTGCCCTTTCTCCCATATAGAATTGATGTATAGCAGCAATTTTTTAAACATTTGGCAGCTTTTAAGATGCATGGACATCAACTCCTACAATTCCCCTGCCAGCTGAAGTCCACCCATCTTAAAATTGCCAAGTTTGAAAAACTGCCTTATAGCATTACTTACTGTAGGTGTTACTAATTTTTCAGTGCTTCTGAGAGGGGGATGCAATTTTAAAATCGTGTCAGGGGCATGCATAGAAAATATCTCTTGGGGGTGGACATCCCCATTCACACAAAAAAAAAAAAAATAACCAGAGGGGGGCATAACCAGTCACAAACCACTATTTATCAGAATGTCCTATTTCCCCATTCATCTCAATTATAATGCCTGGGCTAGTCTACTCTACATAACAAAGGTATAATTAGCCTTCTACAGAAACTCACCACATGGCATCTGGAAACTCAACCAAGCTTGGGACTCAAAAGACACCCAACTTAAAAAGTTAGCTAAGACCCCATCCCCCAACCTCTGGAAGTTTGACAACCAGTCAGAATACATTTCTTACATAGGAACAGGAAACAGAGTGGTGGGGGTGGGGCAGGTCGAACAGAAAGTATAAAAAAACCCAGGAACTCTCAAAGCCCCTTTTCCCTCTTTTCTTCACCCAACACCTGGAAGCATGTGATCTCCCTTTTCTGTTCAGGAGCTCAAGCCATGTGATCCTGTCCACCATTAAACCATCTTTCCAAGCAGCCTCCGTGTTTCCAGCTTCTTTTCCCCCCACTTGGAACTGTACATCAGAAGGACATTTCTTCCAACAGGGGCATAACCAGTCACAAAGCACTATTTACCAGAATGTCCTAGTTTCCTGTTTGTCTCAACCTGGCATTTTTCACCCTAAAATTATTTCTGTGCCTGGTCACCATGGAAAATATGCAGGCCTGAGATTCCTTCAAGGCCAAGAGATGCATTTGGAATTTTAAACACGTGCCATGGTGTTCCAATAGCAATAAAACTGGAGGGAAATATCTCCAAAATGGTTGTATGTGGACATCACCACTTGCAAAGCCCCAGAAAATTATTTGTCTCTTTCTCTAGCCTCCTGCCCCCTGCACCCCCCTCGTGTTCCCTTATGTTTTTTTCTGGGCAAGATCACATGCTCATTTCAAGTAAAGCACTGACTAACTATCCTCCATCTTCATCTTCTTAAAAAAAAACGCTATGGATATCTCGTTGCTTATTATAAAAGAGACAAGTGCTACCTACTCCTTGCCTAGATCCAAAGATTTTTCTTTTAGCAGCAAAAGGAGCAATGCCCTAACATGAAGCCGTGTTTAGTTTCACCCACCTGAATTGCTGGAGTTGAAAAGATGACAGATCAGACCAAGGTGATCACAACTTAATTTGCCAAGTTGCCAAGCAACCACAAATCCCTAAGTGTAGCTAGCAGCAACTTTAGAAGATTCACTGCCAGTCCTTCCTACCTTCAATGGTGCTGGCAAAAGCTCTGAAAAGCTAGCGCTTTTGCTCTAGTCTATACACCTAATGAGGCTTAATTAACCCTCCTAGCAAATCAATCCTAAAAACAACCTTCTTTATAATTAAAG